CACTGAGAATATTAGCCTTTCCCAATTCTAACGTCTCAACATTCAAAAAAAAATTATTTTTCAAAGTCCAGCTTGAACACAATCTCCTGAAGATCATCCAAAACACACTTCTTACCACTTCCCTAGAAAATCTTGCTTTGACTTATCAAAGTAACATTTAAGCACTTTTCATCTTTTCCTTAGTTTCTCAGATAATTTTAAACTTCTTGTACTTCTGAACTTCTGAGTGCACTACAAGAAGTACTTACGTTGCTGGGCGCTGGTGGCTCACACCTATAATCCTAGCTGCTGAGGAGGCTGAGATCTGAGGGTCATGGTTCAAAGCCAGCTCAAGCAGGAAAGTCCATGAAACTCTTACCTTCAATAAACCACCAGAAAACTGGAAGTGGCCCTATGGCTCAAGTGGTGAGTGCTCACCTTGAGATGAAGAGCTGAGGGACAGCACTCAGGCCCAGAGTTCAAGCTGGACTGGCAAAAAAAAAAAAAAAAGTACTTATGTCTGTCTATTCTCCTCTGCCCCCATCCCCACCAAGTCATCCTCATATAGGGCCTTCCTAGGTGGAGTTCAACAATGCCATAGGAGGTCCTTGATCTACACAGATTCAACAAAACTCGAGATACCACTTTCTCTTCTGCCTGACAGAACTGTAAATCACCTAGAGTAGATCGTCTTCCCATTGATTAAGCGTGGCATAGCACGGTTCAGAAGCTCTACTCTAACACATTTAGTCAGAGTAGATTAATCTTTCTTTGTGGAAAAAAAATCCCCCAGGAGGCCAAGCAGGGACAGCACCTTGGACCTTTGTTAAATGAGTAAAACCACAAAGAGATAAATTTCAAAACTGGAAGGATGGCAAACTTTTCCTCAACTGTCAGCCTTACTGATTAAGTACTTTCTAGAATAGTACTATCAAACAGCACTTTCTGTAAGCACTTATGTGCTCTATTTGTCTGCATCCTCCAGTTTCAGGGAATACCTGTGCCATGGCTGCTGAGCATTTGGTTCAGACTAACAGAAATGTTTCATTTCACTTTAAATTCCAGTGGCTAATGGCCATGGGATTAACCAGGAGTTTGCCAGAATAAGCTAAGTTTTCATGTGGTTATCTGAATTGTTATCAAAGGTATTTCCTAGTCAAGCATCAGTAGCTAACGCCTGTAATCCTAGCAACTCAGGAGATGGACATCTGAAGATCCAGGTTTGAAGCCAACTCAGGCAGGAAAGTCTATGGGATTCTTCAATTAACCAGCAAAAAGCAGGAAGTGGAGCTGTAGCTCAAGTGATAGAGCACTAGCCTTGAGCACAAAAGCTCATGAACAGCACCCAGACCCTGAGTTCAAGCCCTAGGACTGGCACAAAAAAACTAAATTAAATAAATTATTCTAGCCAAATTTCATTAAGTAAAAAGTGCACAATTAGCTTTTCTACTTAACCATTTACATTTTTTTTAAATTTCCAGTTCTCTTCTTTTTCTTTGAATTTTCACTTTTATTGTTACTAAGGGCTGTGTACATGCTAAACACATGCTCAACAGTCATGTACACGCTAAATACGTGCTAAACAAGTGGACAATTCCTCCAGCACCCAGGCAGCTCATTTCATCACTGATAAGGCTCAATAAATTCATACATGCCTTCAACCACAGGCATGACTCTAAGCTAGAAGACAGAATAGTAAACAAAACAGGAAACGTTTCTGCCTTTATGGGGTTGACATTCCAGAGAGGGTAGCTTCAAGTATATTGTCAATAACATGGGAAAATAAGAACAGTTGTCCCAGGCCAAGGGAACTGCAAGGACAAAGAGGGAGAGGGCACATAGGAGTTCACCAGTTAGTGTGACTGGGGGCAGTAAATGAAAAGTGGGAAATAAGGCTGCAGTATTAAGCAGGGGTTAGACCTGTTGGAAAGCTTTGTAAGATCATGGAGAACCATGAAAGTTGGAATAGAGGGGCAGAGGTACTGAGAATAGGAGAGACAAGATGTTTTGTTTAACAGTGAACACTAGAAACTGAAAGTATATGGGGAGGGCAAAATCAAGGAGTAAAGATAATATAGGAAACATCTACTTGAAGTGGTTCACTTGAGGAAGCACAGATGATCAGGAAAGCTGTAGGGATGGATAGAGTGAAAATAGAAGTAAATTTTAGGAAAGACACAAGCTAAATATGTGAAGTCAAATTAACAGCCATGGCTAATGGAAAGAGGCTGTTTCTCAAATGAGTCAGATAATACTGTATATTTGGAATCTTGAGGTCCTACTTACTACTCCTAGGCACTGATTATCACATATTCTTCCACCAACAAACCATTACTAGTATCAGAGAAGTTACCAGAATGTGCTTACAGATAATATAACTGTTACATGACACAAAATTTTATTATTTGTGTGTAAATGAGTATCTCTGAACAACAGTAGCCAACTCTGAAAACTCTTGATTAAAGCACAAACAGCATTAAACAAGGAGCAACCCACAAAACATTTTCTTTTTATTTTGTTGGTCATGGGGCTTGAACTCAGGGCCTGGGTACTGTCCCTAAACTCTTTTTGCACAAGTCTAGCACTCTACCACTTTGAGCCACAGTTCCACTTCTAGTTTTCTGGTGGCTAACTGGAGATAAGAGTCTCACAGACTTTCTTGCCAGGTCTATCTTTAAACCACAATCCTCATATCTCAGCCTTATGAGTAGCAAGGATTACAGGTGTGAGCCAACCCACCTGGCTCACAAAAAAAAATTTTTTTTTGCCAGTCCTGGGGCTTGAACTAAGGGCCTGAGCACTGTCCCTGAGCTTCTTTTGCTCAAGGCTAGCACTCTATCACTTGAGCCACAGCACCACTTTCATCTTTTTCTATTTATGTGGTACTGAGGAATCAAACCTGCAGCTTCTTGCATGCTAGGAAAGCACTCTACCACTGAGCCACATTCCCAGCCCACAAAACATTTTCTAAGTAATTATATCTTCCTTTGGATGGCAGCACCTGCAGTTTAATGACTTGCCTTGGCCAAAAATGCCTTCGATTTTTCCTAGTCAAAGTTTGCAATATGATTTTTGGTAGAATTTGGAAATTGGGTTATACAAGGAATCTGTAAATTGGGTTATTCAGGGAAAAGCTTCATTGTTACACTTCCACACATAATGACAGTGCATTCCAATCAATTTCACCCCCTCCATCAAACTGCAGGCATCCTTTGCCCTTAGAATACAGTATCATTTTCTAAGAAGCTTTCATGGAACTTCAGCCAGGAAACTAGGATGCAAAAATGGTAAAATGTTAAGTCAGGACCCAATGACTACTTATTTATCTGTTTACAAGTCCTGGGCAACTTAATTAATCTTTAAAGGATGTTTGGTTTGGTTTAAAGTTATACTCACTCAGCTGGCTAGATGTCTCTCAATGCCAGGCTACCACAGCTCAGGAAAAAACCATCAGCCCTTAAGAACTCCCCAAAGCTGGAACCTGAGTCTAGCCCAGCAGGGGCTCCGAAAACTGCTGAATATAGAAAAGGCATCTTCCACAGTTTCCACCTTGATGAAAACATTCAGCTTCTCTTCTGTGAAAGTACTAGACTACTATAATTTCACATATAGGCTTTCTGAACCTTCTTACCCCCACCTCACAGTTCTGAGTAACAAGCTTGGCCCTTGTAAAATACTTTGCACTTAACCCAAAAACCATTTTCAGGGGGAAATGGTTAGCTTGCTGTCGCTCCCTCCCTTGCTCTCCGACAATATTCACATAAAGTTTCCCTCTCCCAATGGCTTAACGTGGTAGGAAACAAGCAAAGATAAAAACTGGGTCCAGTCTCAGTAATCTATTAACTTTAGCCTCAATTCCTTTATCTATAAAGAACAAATAACACAAGTGCCTTGCCTCCTTCCCAAGGTTATTCTTAAACCCCATCCAAATGAGAAAAGCCTACTCAAAGCTTCCCAAACCTAAGATCCAAGAAATGATAGATTTGGTCAAAGCTTAACTCAAAACCAAAGGAGCGGGTTGTGACCATGCACACTTAGTCACTCAATAAACGTTAAATTAACCGTATTTTTTCCCATTCATAGGATACACAGGAAAAGCACACAAATCCGGCACAACAGTATCACTATATGATCCCTGGCAAGTTAACTGGCCATCTCCCGGGCTTCTTTTCCCTCCCGTGTATAGTAAGGCTTTCACAATGAAGGATCCTGACATCGCAACAAGCCGTCAAACTGCTTTTACATGCGGTTTCCAAGAGCGCACCAGAGAAAAGGGTCCCGACGAGAAGAGGAGGCAAAGGAGCCTGGCTTGGGCAAAATTCTGGGGGGCCGTGTGAGCTTGGCCAGCTCGCTCCCCTACCAAACAAACCCTTCCACCCAGGCTGGGGTAAGGGGCACGGGGAGCACGAGGAAGAGCAGGGGAGGGGGGGACGAGGGAAGGCACAGGGGACCCGGGGGCAGGGGGAGGACATGATCGGGGGGGGGGCCGGGGGAGGGGGCAGGGGACACCGGAGAGCCGGAGGGGAAGAGGTCATGGAGCAGGGGCGGGGGCAGGGGGGCCCGGCCCGGGCGGGCAGCTCTGGCCTCCGGGCCGGGTGCGAAGGAGAGGCCCCGCTCTCCCGCGGGCCGGGTGCTGCGCCCTTCCTTCCGGACGAAGGACCTGTCATGTGCCTGGACAACAGTTCCAGCTTCCTCGGGAGAGGGTCGCTCTCCCGTGCCCGCCCCCCCCCCGGGACGTCAGGGAGCCCCCACACTCCGGGCCCCCACCCGTCCCCGCGCGGCCCGCGCCCGCCCCGCAGCCTCCGGCTCCCGCGGCCTCCGCGGGAGGGGCGTTGCCATAGGAACCGCGCTCTGGACCCCGGCCCTCGAAGCTGCAGGGGAGCTAGGAAGGAGGGCTCCGAGACCCACTGGGCCCAGCCACCACTGCCGAGAGCCGCACCCGGGGCGGTTCTACCCGCAAGCCCGCGCCCCGACGGCTCCGCGTCTTCCCGCTTCGAGCCACAAAAAAAAAAAAAACCTACCTTCCGCCATGTCGGGCCCAGCCCTGCCTGCAGCCTCGCGAGAAGTGCGCGCGGAACGGTGGCACGAAATCTCGCGAGAGCCCTGGGAGGCGCGGCCAAGTTGGAGCGCTGGGGGAAGCCAGGCCTTCGGCTGGAGATCCGGACTGCACTCGTGATTTAGTGACTGAGGACTTGCCCAGCTGACTGGTCTCGGTCCTGTCCCACGTCCCGGGCGGAAGACAGCAAACCCAGACTGCTGCTCCTGAGAAGCTTCCCCGGGCGAGGGCGGAGAGGGTGCGCGGGCCTTCGGGTTGTGTGAGGGCGTCGGGGCCGGGGCGGGGTGGGGGGACGCTGTGGTCCCAGACCCCGGGTACCTGTAACATTCGACACTTAACTCAAGGGAAAGGATGAAATTTGGACTAGAAGCAGGTCACCTGTTAATCCACTAGGCGCATGGAAACAACGTAGATGTGCAAGGGAAAGAACTATCAGCGACTTGACTCGGAACGATTGTATGCTGTACGCATGAAGTTCTTAGGCAAGGAGACCAGAGAATAATGAAGAAAATGTTGAAGATTTGAAGGCCTCATTACAAGTACCTCATCTACATGTGGATGAAGTCACTTTGAACTCGGCTATCTAGAGGCAGAAACAATCTGAATGCTAACATTTGTCTAAGCTCTAAGATTTTGTTGCCAAAAGTGGACAAACTCTATGACACTACAACTGTGGTGATCAGACTTAAAATTCACACTGCCTGGAGGTCGATGTATGAATTGTGAGAACTGCAGAGTTGTGTAATAACTGTGGACAGTCCAGTGCAAACAAGGTTGGGATAGTCCTGAGGTCAATGTGACAAAGTAGATTTTTGTCAGCTAAATCACATTAGAGCAGGACTGGGCAATGAAGTGGAAATGAGAAGCCAGGGAAATTAAATGTTGTAAGTTAAATATAGGAAAGTAAGGGAAACTATAAGCAAGATGTGGACATCTTTGGTGAATGTAGAGATGGCTAAATTATTAGGAAATAGCAAATTGGAGGACTAAAAAGTAGTTGAACTGGGCCTGTTGCTAATGCCTGTAATACTAGCTACTCCGGAGGCTGAGATCTGAGGGTGGAGGTTTGTAACAAGCTGGGACAGGAAAGTCCATGAGACTTTTTTTTTTTTTGGGGGGGGGGAGGTCTGGTCGCTGTCCCTCAGCTCTTCAGCTCAAGGCTAGCACTCTGCCACTTGAGCCACAGCGCCACTTCCGGACTTTTTCTTTTTTTGCTTATGTGGTGCTGAGGAATCAAAACCAGGGCCTCAGGCATGCAAGGCAAGTGCTCTACCACTGAGCCACCTTCCCAGCCCCATCTATGAAACTCTTACCTCCAATTAACTGCCAAAAAATCAGGAAGTAAATCTGGCTCAAGTGGCAATGCTCTAGCCTTGAACACAAAAGCTGAAGAACACACCTAGGCACTGAGTTCAAGCCCCAGGACTGGCATGTGCACACACACATACACAAAATAGTATAAATAGCATGAGACATTTCCAAAAGATTACACAAGTGTTCACCTATCATGTATGAAGTCTTGAGTTCCATCCCCAGCATCGAAAATAAAAAGTCTTCCCAAACAGCTGTAATTCCAGCTACTTGGGTGGTGGAGATCAGGATGACAGGATCAAGGTAAGCCCTGGCAAAGTTTTAAAGACCCTATCTGAATAAATCAGATGTGGTGGAATTCATTTGTGATCCCAACTTTGAGAGGCAGTCTCTGGAAAGATCAGAGATACCACAGATAGTGATCAAGATGTGAGGCCCACCTTATATTAATATTTTTTTTTAAAGAAACAGGGTAGGATATGGTTTAACTGGTAAGAGAGAGAGAGTGTGTGGTGTGTGCGCCAGACCTGGGCTTGAACTCAGGGCACTGTCCCTGAGCTTTTTTGTACAAGGCTAAGGTCCTACCACTTAAACCAGATCCACATCCAGCTTTTTGCCAGTTAATTGGAAATAAGAATTTCATGGACTTTCTGCCAGACTGGCTAACAACTGTGATCCTCAAATCCCAGCCTCCTGAGTAGCTTAGAATTTTTTTTTTTAATCAGTTGTGGGGCTTGAACTCAGGACCTGGGTGCTGTCCCTGAACTCTTCAGTTTAAGGCAAGCACTCAACTACTTGAGCCACAACACCACTTCTGGTTTTCTGGTGGTTAGTTGGAGATAAGGGTCTCACAGGGAATTTCCTGCCCGGGCTGGCTTTGAACCGTAATCTTCAGATCTCAGTCTCCTGTGTAGCTAGGATTATAGGCATGAGCCACCCAAGCCCAGAAGTAGCTTGGATTTACAAGTATGAGCCATCAGTTCCCAGATTGCAATTTTTTTTTTTACTTCAAGAATCAAAAACTGGGGCTGGGAAGGTGGCTCAGTGGTAGAGCGCTTGCCTTTCATGCTCAAGGCCCTGGGTTCGATTCCTCAGCACCACATAAGCAAAAAGAAAAAAGCCGGAAGTAGCGCTGTGCTCAAGTGGTAGAGTCCTAGCCTTGAGTTGAAGAGCTGAGGGACAGTGCCCAGGCCAGAGTTCAGGCCCCATGACCGGACCCAAAAAAACAAAAGAATCAAAAACTCAGCCAGGTGTCAGTGGTTCATGCCTGTAATCCTAGCTACTCAGGAGGCTGAGACATTAGGATTGTGGTTCAAAGCCAGCCCTGGCAGGAAAGTCCGTGAGACTCTTTTCAATTAACTACTCAAAAACTGGAAGTGGTGTAGTGGCTCAAGTGGTAGAGTGCTAGCCTTGTGCTGAAGAGCTCAGGGAATGTTAAAGACTGCAGGGGGGTTAGAGGTATGGTTCAGTTGACACCAGCCAATGAGCAAAAGCATCAGGTATTGTTCAAGTCATAGACTCAGACAAAAATAATAGAAATGAAAACTGTAGGGAATTGGTGGCCTTGGAGAACATGAGTATCAGAACTGAAGAAGAAAGAATTCCAAGTTGGTGATGTTAGGTGCTGTTAAGGTCATCCCTAGTGTATAATTAGGTACAAGTGAATAAATTGGAGTTTTAGATCATAGCAACATAAGGTCGAGTTAAAGTTTTAGCCAAGCACCAGTGGCTACTGTGAAGACAGATCTGAGATTCGCAGTTTGAAGCCAGCCCAATAGGGAAGTCCATGAGACTTATCTCCCATTAACCACAACAAAGCTGGAAGTGAAGCTATGGCTGAAGTGGTAGCATACTAGCCTTGAGCAAAAAAGTTCAGGGACAGTGTCCAGTCCCTGAATTCAATCCCCAGGATTTGTGTGTACGTGCGCACGCGCGCGCACACACACACACACACACACACACACACACATGATGTTGCAGTTTTGAGGAAGTAGGAGTGATTCTGATAGGCATTTGGGAAATGGAAGTGAAGAGGGTACTGAAATGTGTAGACAGCTTAGAACATGAGCAAGGAAGGTGCTTAGAGTTGCTGTACCATGCAAAGGCAATTAGGCAAAGAAGCACAGAGAATACTTGTCAGGCAGAGAACTTGCAGGTGCCTTGCTCAAAACTTGCCTGTCTGTTGAGAATGGTTTAAGAGGTGTGCCAAATGGTGAGTTTCTAGATCAGATTGCCTGAAAGCCAGCCTCCTTGGCCATAGCAGCCTTATCTGAAATTCCTCAGGATCTTAACATTAAAATTATTTAAGGGCTGGGAAGGTGGCTCAGTGGTAGAGCGCTTGCCTTGCATGCATGAGGCCCTGGGTTTGATTCCTCAGCACCACATAAGCAAAAAGAAAAAAGCCGGAAGTGGCACTGTGGCTCAAGTGGTAGAGGGCTAGCCTTGAGCTGAAGAGCTGAGGTACAGCACCCAGGCCCAGAGTTTAGGCCCATGACCGGACCCAAAAATAAATAAATTAATTAATTATTTAAAAGTGCCAGGCCAGTGGCTCCCAGCTGTAATGCTAGCTACTCAGGAGGCTGAGATCTGAGGATCACAGTTCAAAGCCAGCCTGGGTAGGGAAGTCCCTGAGACACTCATCTCCAATAAACCACTCAGAAAAACAGAAGTGGTGCTGTGGCTCAAGTGGTAGAGTGCTTGACTTGAGCTGAAGAGCTGAGGGACAGCACCCAGGCTCAGAGTACAAGCCCCACAACCACCAACAACAAAAAAAGTGACTGGAAAATACTATCATCACAGCTAATGTCTATTTTGCATCACATAACTTGGCCTCACTTGTACTAGCCTAGGGTTGGTTATACAGCAGGTACTCAATGTTCGATTAGTTTTTACCTCAGTGTGCTATACTAGGAGTACTGACTTGCTGTGTTGGTGATGGGGAGATCTAGAAACTTGTTTTATTTATGCTTCCTCTCAGATTCTGTTTCATGAGGAACCCAGGTTACTGAAGATTTGGAGGGTTATGATCTTTTGAGAGCTTGATGAAAACCAGAGTACCCTGTAGAGCAGTACACATGAAGGAATAAACAAATGTGTTTAGAGTGCTTGGATTAGATGCTCATGATCAAATTAGAAATTGCTTAATGGGGCTTAGCAACTCATGGGCGGAACTATAACCTCTTCATTAAAACCTACTCTGAGCCGGGTGCCTGTGACTCACACCTGTAATCCTAGCTACTGAGGAGGCTGAGATCTGAGGATCATGGTTCAAAGCCAGCCTGGGCAGCAAAGTCTGTGAGATCCTATCCAATAAACCACCAGAAAACTAGAAGTGGCGCTGTGGCTCAAAGTGGTAGAGCGCTAGCCTTGAGCTGAAGAGCTGAGAGACAGCACCCAGGCCAAGTTCAAGTCCCATCGCTGACAAAAACAAAAACAAAACAAAGCCCTACTCTACTCTGATACAGTAAATACAGAAACTTTGAATTTTCTCAGCATTAGAATACAGTTTTAACCCAGTTCCAATTTGTAAGGTTTGTTCAGGCAAAGAACATGAAGTACAGGATAGGGAGTGATATTGTCTGTCCCAAATTCAAGGACAGAACCAACTGGCCAGTCAGTGCTACATTGTGCAAGACAAAGAGGAAGAAATTTCTAAGATTGCTAGAACAGCCTTAACAAGTGGTCTCTATGTGACCTCAGAAAAGTCACTGCTCCTGAGCTCATGTTTCCTCACCTGAAAATCCCGGTGGACAGTACCCTGTGTATATGGAAGGACATGGAACTGAATCCTGGCAACCCACTTACTCAACCGCAATCTTGCCAAATCAACCAAAACCTGTTTCCTAATAATAAACTATTACTTTAAAAGAATTTGACTAGATCCTGCCAAAAGAAATGCTAAATCGCAATTTTGTTTCTAGCAGTTTTGCTAGGAATAAATGAAATGTGAACATTCAAGTGCTATTATACATTTCCCTTTACGTTTGGTGGTACAAGGAATGAAGACAGGTGCTCTTCCACTATTCTTTTTTTTTGAGGGGGAGGGCTGGAGCTGGGCTTGAACTCAACACCTAGGCACTGTCCTTGAGCAATTTTGCTCAAGACTAGCCCTCTACCACTTAAGCCACAGCTATGGCCTTTTTGTTGTTTTTAATTGAAGGGTCTCATGGACTTTCCTGCCCAGACTGTGTGTGTGTGTGTGTGTGTGCGCGTGCATGTTGTGGGGCTTGAACTCTGGGCCTGGGTGCTATCTCCGTGTGTTTCAGCTCAAGGCGAGCACTCTACCACTTGAGCCACAGTGCCACTTTCGGCTTTCTGGTGGTTTATTGGAGATAAGTCTCACGGACTTTCCTGCCCAGGCTGGCTTTGAACTGCAATCATCAGCTCTCAGCCTCCTGAGTAGCTGAGGCCTGAGCCACCAGCGCCCAGCCCCAGACTGGTTTTGAATCATGATCCTCAGATCCCAGCTACTTGAGTAGCTAGGAATTACAACCACCACCAGCACCAGCCTTTGAAAGTGAACTCCTGAGCTGGGAAGGTGGCTCAGTGGTAGAGTGCTTGCCTTGCATGCATGAGGCCCTGGGTTCGATTCCTCTGCACCACATAGGCAGAAGAAAAAAAACCCAGAAGTGGCGGTGTGGCTCAAGTGGTAGAGTGCTAGTCTTGAGCTGAAGAGCTGAGGGACAGCACCCAGGCCCAGAGTTCAGGTCCACGACCGGACCCCCTGTCCAAAAAAAGTAAACTCCTTTTCTTACCTATGTGTAAACAGGACTCAAAACTGTATAATCAATTCCCTAAAGCTCAGTGTGGAGTACCAAGTCAACCATCCAAAAAGCTTCACCCCACTGTGGCAGCCCAGGTTGTAGACCTGAAATTGAGCAAATCTGAACTAAATCCTGTTGGGGTTTGCAAGCCTCCAGTAAGTAAACTAAACTAATTGTTTGATAAGCTGGTTACTGTACTATATTCAGGAAGGAAAGGGAGAAAATTAGCTTCATTCTGTCATGAAAGCCTACTGCCTGATATACAGTATGCAGCCAACAATTTGTCCGTTTGCATTTGAGCAGCAAATAACACTCCTTGCAGTTTACCTCAGATGAATATACACAAAAAAGTTCAGCGACATTCCCTAGCACTTCCACACCCAGTAGTTTTATTCCAAATAATTAAAAACTCTAGAAATGATCTCCAAAACTGCTTCCAAGAATTTTCTTTTGGTTTCTGATTCAGCTCTAACATCTGGTTCCATGTTCTTTACTCACTTTGTAAAGAGGTCTTATCAACCAGCAGGCATTTTTATGTAAAAACATCAACATAGCAAGTCAGTTGTCAACATTAAGTTTTTAAGAATTACAGTTCTAAGGATTTAAGAAAAAAGATAGATCCTGTTATCAGTATTTTGTTACATGCGGGGGTGGGGGAGAAAAGAATTGGGGCTTGAACTCAGGCCTTGCACTCTTGCTTCTTTTTCACTCTACCAGTTGAGCCACACACCTTTACTTCTGGCTTTTTGGTAGTTAACTGGCAGTAACAGTTTCATGGATTTGTTTGTGAAGACTGGTCTCATTGTGATTCTCATATCTCAGCCTCCTGAATAGCTAGGATAACTGATGTCAGCCACTAGTGCCAGGCAGAGTTATCTTTAAAACAAAAAGTGCTATTGTGCCTCTTTTCCAACTAAGTGATGCTGCAGATATTGGCCCAGACCCCTATCTACTCAGAGCAAGGAAGGTGTTTTCTTCTAGTTCCAATTGAAGAATGGGCTTCTTACCATTAAGCTCATTTTTAAGGAAGAGCCAGTTTAGTCAGAGACAACTCCCCCGTAGTGTTCTATTGTTCTTTAAGCTTCTAAGCCATGGTACAGAAAGTCTGAATAATGGTGTGGCCATGTACTGGAAATTTATAGCAATTTATCAGGTTGGATGTCAAGTTAATTTCTTCCCCTCAAGTTCCTCCTTTAAATTGTTTGTAAAATTTTTCATCAAGGCTCCTCTGTGGACACTCTGGTATCATGTGCTATTTTATATAGAAAGAATCCCACCACTACTTTTGAGACCTGCATCCTAAAACCAAAATAGCTCATAATGCAGCCTCTAAGTCATCATTTATTGATTTATAGAGCACCCATCACATAATTTGAGGTGCTTTACAATACAGTAAACATAACAACAAAACTCACATAGTTAAATACAATCAACAAATTACAGAACTTAAAAAAAACCAACTGGAATGAAGCAACATTATGTCAAATTTCAAAGATGCTGAGAAATGGCAGTACAGAAAGGCAATTCTACCAACTGGAGACCAGATGGGCAGATACACAGGCAGTAACCCCCCACCCCAAGTTGGAAGAATTGTAGAGGGTGAGTGAGCATATAGTTTCACATTGGGAATGAAAGCCATTAACGATACTATGACACCCAAGTGATCACAAAACTAGAATAACCTCATAAACATCTCACCTTTAGTGACAAGGAAATCCTCAAAAGAAGTTAGGAAAGCCATGGAGATCACTCATCCCTCCTATTATAAATAGACTTAAATGTGTAAACCTCTACAAGAATGACGATCACCTATCCCTCCTATTATAAACAGACTTAAATGTGTAAGCCTCTACAAGAACTTGAAATAAACTTAGCAAACAGCCAACAGTTCTATAACCCAAAGGACAAGAGATGTACTTAATAGTTGTCCCAGGTTAGGGAGAAAAACATCCTTTTCTTGAAGCAAAGAAGAAAAAAAAAAATCACCTCACACTAATGATGAGGCACTGGTGGGACAAAAGCCACCTGGTTCAGTGGCACCTGACCGTGAATTTCATATCAAATGTACAGGCATTTAAATTCACATTGTCAGATGATCACTGGGAAAGGCACAGATGACATCTCTGAGAGAAGAAAGGAAATTCTAAAGTCTGCCAAGACCTGAATTTCAGTTTATAGCATGGCCAGGGGAACGGGTGTAAAACAGGGTGGGGAGAGAGGCATTTATTCCTGGCACTTCTTTAATCCCCTTCAATGTAGAATCATATGGTTAGCCCAAAGTAACTGCATTAAAGTGGCACTTGAAGTTCAGAAAAGTTGTCCCTGAGTTACTAGATCATTTGCTACTTGCTGAGCAGTTAAATCCCAGGTTTTAACTCAACGGATTGCTAGTAGAATTATAGCAATAGGAGAGCAAATTTCTTAACTCCATATTGCCTAAGCAACCATAATGTGGATAGTTCCTGATACAACAATAAAAAGGATTGCATTCCAAGTCCCTTGTAGATGTGCAGTAGAACTGGGCAATAATTTTTACCGTTTTTTGGGAGGGAAGTCAAAAGTTCTTGAAGGAAGTTAGGCTCCAACAAATCAAATCAAGGAGTTCTCATAGTCACTATACATCTGGGTTTTTACAATGCTTCAGAGCATAGGAAACAGACAAGGATTTTGAAAAATCACTCTACTGTGACTGCATGCTCAACATTTTACTTCTGCTCAAAAAAGAACATAATCTGGGCTATCTGCAAGAATCCTTTCACTTCTGCCAAAGCATTTCTCCAAACCAGAGATATGCCAATTCTCACAAATACCTCACCCATATGTATAGTATAATCTTAAGTACTATCCAAACATGCCAAACACTATTTTCCATTCTCAACCATACAAATAAGAAAAATTTAGAAACAGGAACATAGGTCTGCCTTTAACTCTGCATATACTCATTTTTGCCAATTGTTGAACTTGTTTCAAAAATCAAAAACAAAAACCCCAAACTATGAGAACTTATGCCCCAACATTAATCAAATCTAAGTACATGATATCAGTTCAGAATCTATATGCCAATTAGCAAAGCATTTACCCATATAATGCTTTTGGATTTTCTTAAGAATCTAGACAGAACCTAATACATATTCTGCCAGGGCTATATGATTTTCAAGTACTAAGTTTGTTTGCATAAGGAATCCACCTGAGATTTTTTTTTTCCCCCTAAACTGCACTTTTCTGGCATTTAGTATTATAACCTTCATTCAATACAATAAAAGCCAACAACTTGACAATTATTGGAAAAAATTGTATTTTGGAAGAACTCACTACAGGTGACAGAATTCCAAAATCAAATTACATGAAAATATACATCGCAATTTCTTTGTACAACAGGGAAGAAAAATTTCTAGTGTAGGATAGCGGCAAAGAAATATGAAGGATTAAGGGGAAGGGTATGCAGGCTGATGGCATTTTTAGTAGCAAATCCTAAAGAAAGCAAATCCAAGTAGAAAGCCTGTAGCTGTGCATGCTTTATTTGTCCAACCTTAATATAAGTAAATTAAGGGCAATAATAAAAGCAAATCAGAATTTTGTATGGTTTGGAATAAATTTCAGTACATTAAGCTGAGAAGTAACACTTTTTTTTTTTTAGTCCTTGCAGGTAATGTCTAGGTTGGGTCAAGAACTCTCAACAGCCAGAAAATTTTATTGCTACATCCAATCCAGGAGATGGTGCAACCTGAATACAAAAAGGACAAAGCACCTAGTGATGACCAGCCCTCCAAGGTCATCGTGAAAAATCAAGTACTTAGTAAGAATTTTAGTACTAGAATAAAATGATCTGAGAAATTCCTGGCAGGAAAGAAGAGAGAGAGAGAGAGAGAGATAAAAGTGAAGAGTGTCAAAACAAAGAAGATACAAAAGTTTGGTACGTGAAAAGTTTAATGAAGCCTTAATGTTTAAAGAAAATTAAATGGAAACTTTAATCCTAATTGTTTTTATCTGACATGCTTTAAAGAGTCTCTTTAAACTGATAAGAAACAATGAAAAGGGAAAGAAAACCTGCTAAAATCTTTTACAATTTACACGATTCTTACTCTACTACAAGAAAGCATTATTTGGTACAAGGTGTATTCGTGGATGTACATGAACAGTATATATATTATCCGGATCATGTTGTGCTATGTACAGGTCTTTACAATTCTTCCTGAAGGTTAAAACAGTTCATTAGAATTCAAAATGCGTAATCATCTGTAAGTTGGCACTTGTTAGGCTCTTGTCGGCATTGATAACTGGCATGTTTTATTGCAGCCCAGTTCCAGCCAGTATTTGCCAACTTGTTACAACAGAAGTCCAGCAATAGGTGGGTAGAGTGCAGGAAAAACAGTGCCATGTTTCTCAATTGGAGACCTACAACAAAACAAACAGCATCATGTAAGAAATGCAATATTACAAAAGAATTAACTGATTCCATTTTTTTCCCCCCAGTTGTGAGGCCAGAACTCTGGGCCTGGGCACTGTCTCTCAGCTCTTCAGCTCAAGGCAAGCACTCTACCACTTGAGCCACAGAGCCACTTCTGGCGTTTTCTGTTTATGTGGTGCTGAGGAATTAAACCCAGGGCCTCATGCATTCAAGGCAAGCACTCTACTACTGAGCCACTTTCCCATCCCTGATTTGAATTTTTATTTATATTGTTTCTTGGTGGCAACTAATTCTTAATTTTAAGCCCACTCTTACTCATTACATAAGCCAATGCACATGTGACAATTACTATTTACTTTTATGTTTACATTAATTAACATTAAATAAAGAGGCTCATGTCTATAATCCTAGCTAATCAGGAAGCTGAGATCTGAGGATTGTGGTTTGAAGCCAGATTGGGCAGGAAAAGTCCCTGAGGCTCTTATCTCCAATTAACCACCTAAAAACAAGAAATGGAGCTATGGCTCAAAGTGGTAGAGCAGTAGCCTTGAGCCAAAAAGCTCAGGGACAGTGCCCAGGCCCTGAGTTCAAGCCCCATGACCGACAAAAAAACTAAAATTTCAGTTCCTTAGCCACATTGAACAATGTAGACAGAAAGTTCTATAACACAGTTATATTTAGATTTTTCAGTATTCTTGTTATGTTACAACCAGAAGGAAAAATAGAAAATATTTAAATGTAAAATAACTTGCAAAGTTAGAAATGTTTGAGTATGTACAGAAAAACAACTTAAAGCTTGCCAAATTTCTTTTGCACCAGTATTAGGACTCAAACTCAGAGCCTCATACTTGTTCTCTACTACTCAGGTCATACCTTCAGTTCCTTGCCACACTTCATAACTTGCTAAACTAAATATTGGATTTTGAACTGAGGGTCATACATTTGCAAGGCAGGTATGTTCTACCACCTAAGCCTCATACCTTATTTTTGCTTTAGCTATTTCTCAGTGTCTTCCATTTTTTGCCCTAGCTAATATCAAATGATACCCTCTTAACTATAGCCTTCTTGCAAAACTAGGCTTACAACTAGGCTTATGTACCATGACACCAGCCTATTGATTAAGATGTGGTCTTGCTAACCTTTTGCCTGAGCTGGCCTCAAGCTTGAATCCTCCTGGTATTCCCTCCTATGCTCTTCCCCCTTCCCCAGTCCTGGGGCTTGAACTCTGGACCTGAGTACTGTCCTTGAGCTTCTTTTACTCAAAGCTAGCCTCTGCTACTTGAGCCACAACACCACTTCTGGCTTTTTCTGGGTATATGGTACTAAGGAATCAAACCCTGGGCTTCATGCGTGCTAGGCAAGCACTCTACCAACTAAGCCACATTCCCAGCCCAGTATCTATCTACCTTTTGAGTAGCAGGAATTAAAACCATCGTGCTCAGTCTAGTCAACTCTATAGATTGGGTTCAAACCCATTTCTATGCCAGCCTCCTACAACTGACCTTCATCCCAATGACAGTCTAATAGGTTGCTATCTACTGGTCTCATATCCCTAAGTAGACTGCAAGTCAAGAGCACAACTAAATAAAAATCACTACCATCCTATCAAATGCTTATGATGTTCCATGGAGTGTGTTAAGTGCTTTGTATCCTCATCTAAGGTAATATACCATGATCATCTCTGTCTGAGAAATCTACATCTCCTAGCCAAGCACCATTTAGGGCAAACAAACAAATGACTGAGAATATAGATAATAAAAGTCCTGCAGAGAGGCCTAATATACATAAGAACATACTTAATTTACATCAGATTATGTTTCAAGTTTAATGTGACTTCTAAAGGCCAGAGTGAATTTATCTCAGAACCTCCCAAACTCAACCATGCCAAAAGCTCTGCTGAAGGAAGAAAACTGTAACGTAGTCTGTAGACCTATATGTGCCTAACTAAGTCATTCAGACTACCTCCTAGAAAGGCTGGGTGCTTGGCTTCATGGCATGGCACCAGAGTAGACTACCTTTTAGGAAAGACATTTCTTAAGATCTCAGCAACTACTAAGCTTCTTTGCAAAAATACTGGTCAATGACATGGCTTCTAGGCAAAGCAAGAAATGTATTAGATACAAATATATTACCATCAGAATCCAATCCTCCCATGTACACCTGGATATTTACCTACATCTATCATTTGAAAGTAGAAAGAAACTTAAAGAGAAAAATGTTATGGAATGAGAATTATAAGCTTTTAGGTAAAGTTACCTGAATGTTTTCCAAAGAATGTATTACACCCAAATTAATATCTGGCTAATAAATCTCCCAGGGCTTAAAAAAGAACTGGATGCAGATTTTGAGTATGCAGTAATCATTCCCTCATGATATAAAGGATGAGAAATTCCAAGGCAACAGAATCATTAACAAACTGTTTCCAAGTGAGGTTTTAAGAAAATACCCCAGAGATAATGACCGAAGAAAATAAACACCTAAAGTCAACTCTACCTTTTAATAGGAAGAACTCAGCTTTAAAATAGCATTAGATTCTTCAGTGGAAGAATAAAAGCCCACCCCACCCTTCCTTTAAATAAAATTTAACAGAGAGGGGCTGGGAATGTAGCTTAGTGGTAGAGTACTTGCTAGCATGTATCAGCCCTGGTTTCGATTCCCTGGTACCACATAAACAGAAGTGGCTGTGGCTCAAGTGGTTGAGTGCTCGCCTTGAGCAAATGAAGCTCAGGTACAGTGCCCACACCCATATGAGTTCAAGCCCCAGGAATGCCCCCCGCCAAAAAAAAAATTTTTTTAACAGAGAAAGGCCTCAATCAGAAAAGGCATTTTTTAGTCTAGAAAGACTAGGTATGAAAATTAAGCCATGTTTCATCTTATTAAGCCATGGCTCATCTTATTACCCATATCACTCTAAATAATGCTCTATCCTGAAATAGTCATTTTAATTTTTTTTGTGTGTGTCGGTCGTGAGGCCTGAACTCTGGGCTTGGGCACTGTCCCTACATTCTTCAGCTCAAGGTGAGCAGTCTACCGCTTCAGCCACAGTGCCACTTCGGTATTTTTGTGGTTTATTGGAGATAAGAGTTTCACAAACTTTCCTGCCCAGGCTGGCTTTGAACCATGATCCTCAGATCTCAGCCTCCTGAGTAGCTAGGATTATAGGTGTGAGCCACCAATGCCCAGCCATTTAATTTTTTTTTAAAGCTTTTTATTTTTTATTTTTATCAGTCATGAGGCCTGAACTCTGGGCCTGGGTGCTTGCTGTCTCTCAGCTCTTCAGCTCAAGACTAGCACTCTACCACTTGAGCCAGAACCACTTAGGCGTTTCTGCTTATGTGGTGCTGAGGAATCGAACCCAGAGCCTCATGCATGCAAGGCAAGCACTCTACCACCGAGCCACCTTCCCAGTTCCTCATTTTACATTTTTTGTAAGCATGTTCTACTTGTATCTTAAAATATATCTGCTGTATGTTGTGTAAAATCCATGTTTTGTTTAAATATTAATTGAACTTATGGTAACTGTACCTATAATTTATACCTAACGTTCTCAAAATTATTTCTGCTTCTTACAAATCTAAAGTCTGCTTTTATGGCATTACAGAATTTAATCTAACCTAAGAAATACAAAGTAAGGAAGTAGTGCTGTGGCTCAAGCAGCAGAGCGCTCGCCTTGAGCTGAAGAGCGCAGGCACAGCACCCAGGCCCAGAGTTCAAACCCCATGACCTCCCCCCCCCCACACACACACAAAAGTAAATCCACTTTTTTATGTTAAAGCCAATAAATTTCTCCCTCAGAGGAAAGTGTTCCAATAATCTCAACCACTCAAGTGCAAGCAATCCATGAGGAAGAAGCTTCTTGGTGCCAAGGACACCTGCCCCATTGCTCTTCATATAATGCTTCCCAAAGTTCTAATAGTCCTTCTTCCTTCCGAAAAATGAACTCTTCCATTCTGACAAGAACTACCCACACCTACTTCCTGTCTTGGCTCTTCTAGCACCCATGCTTCTGACCAAGTTAGTCATGTGTTTCTGACAGTCTCTTCTTCTTGTCCCTTAAATGTGGAAGTTCCCAAGCTATCCTTGGCCTACTATGAATTACTTTCTACACCAACTGGACCATCTATTCTGGAGAATGCACGTGTTAGTCAGCAGCCCTAGTTCTAATCTTATCCCAACCATTCAATATTTACTTTTGTATGGACTTTTCAAATCGATACGCTGAACTTTTCTAGGTGTTAATACCTGGTCTGTTGGTCAGAAAATGTATCTAAGGCATTATTACATATCTTTTCCCTCCCAAGGAGCCAAGTATCTTTGCAGGTTAATTAATAAATACTCATTACCAAGAACTGAAGTAAGCTCATGATTGCCTGTTCCTGGTGTTACCTCTCATTTTAAGAGATAATCACTGAAGACAGAGGCTCAAGTGCTAGAGCACCTGACTATCAAGTGCAAAGCCTTTAGTTTAATTCTCAGCACTGTAAAATGAAACAAAGAGAAACAAATCTTACTCCATAAAAATATGCCTCCCAACAGGGAAATAAATACTAAGAAACCAAAAAAAAAAAAAAAACAAAAACTTAATACACACACACACAAGTGTGTGTGTGTGTGTGTGTGTGTGTGTGTGTGTGTGTGTGTGTGTGTGTGTGTGTGTGTGTGTGTGTGTGTATAAGGATTCGATTTCTGAAAGAAAAGTGAACTATTGGCTAGGTGCTGGTAGCTCATGCCTATAATCCTAGCTACTCAGGAGGCTGAGATCTGAAGATCGCAGTTCAAAGCCAACCCAGACAGCGAAGTCCACAAGACTCTTATCTCTCCAACTAACTAGCAGTAAGTTGGAAATGGAGGTGTGTGTGGATCAAGTAGTAGGGTGCTAAGCCTTGAGCAAAAAGGAGCTAAGGGACAGCGCCCAAGACCAGATTTCCATCCCCAGGACTGGCCATCAAAGGAACTGCAATCCAGCCGGGTGCTGGTGGCTCATGCCTGCAATCCTAGTTATTCAGGAGGCTGAGATCTGAGGATCGCGGATCAAAGCCAGCCCGGGCAGGAAAGTGAGACTCTGATCTCAAATAAACCTCTAGAAAACCATTAGTAGCACTGTGGCTCAAGCGGTAGAATGCTCGCCTTGAGCTGAAGAGCGCAGGGGCAGCGCCCAAGACCAGAGTTCAAGCCCCATGACCAACAAAAAAAAAAAAAGGAACTGAAATCCTCAAATCTCAGCCTCAGGTGTACCTAGGATTGAGGAATAAACCAGTTATAAACCAGAGCACAGTTATCATGTGAAATTTAACCCCCAGTGAAAAGAAACAGACCACCACTATACAATTTTTGTTTTTGGTTTTGTGGGACTTGAACTCTGGGCCTGGGTACTGTACCTCAAACACTCTACCACTTGAGCCACAGCGCCAGTTTCAGTTTTCTGGTGATTAACTGGAGATAAGAGTCCCATGAACTTTACTGCTCAGGCTGGCTTTGAACCACAATCCACAGATCTCAACCTCCTCAGTAGCTAGGACTATAGGCGTGAGCCATCAGCTCCCACTACAATTTTTTTTTTTTTTGGGGGGGGGGGGGGGGGGGTCCGGTCGTGGGGCCTGAACTCTGGGCCTGGATGCTGTCCCTCAGCTCTTCAGCTCAAGGCTAGCGCTCTACCACTTGAGCCACAGCGCCACTTCTGGCTTTTTTCTTTTTGCTTATATGGTGGTGAGGAATCAAACCCAGGGCCTCATGCATCAAGGCAAGCACTCTACCACTGAGCCACCTTCCCAGCTCCCCACTACAATTATTATTTTTTTTGGGGGGGGGGGGGGGGTCCGGTTGTGGGGCCTGAACTTTGGGCCTGGGCACTGTCCCTCAGCTCTTCAGCTCAAGGCTAGGGCTCTACCACTTGAGCCACAGTGCCACTTCCGGTTTTTTTTTTTCTTTTTTTGCTTATGTGGTGCTGAGGAAAAAAACCCAGGGCCTCATGCATTGCAAGATAAGCACTCTACCACTGAGGCACCTTCCCAGCCCCCCCACTACAATTATTTTTAAAAAGATTATTTAGCTTAAAATGGATGGGTGGCATAAAGAAGAAAAATAAGCTGATTATACTGTATCACTGAGAGCCAACTGAGTATTACAAATTACTATAGAAAGAAAAATTGAAGCCAATGAAAATAGCTCAAATACTTAAGTCACACAGTTCTCAGAAATTACTTATCAACAGGCAGAAGAGCAGTATGATTTGATTTTAAACTTACCCTGAAATAAGTGAAGTTACTAGCTGTTTAATAAATGTCACTCAAAAGCAGTCTCTTGGCTTTTTCTTACACAGCGAGCAACTTTCCTTTTAAATTCTCCATTTCTGTCTTCCCTCCATTCTTTCTGTAGATACAAAAGGTATTATTAAATGACTATAAAAACTCCTTATAATCTCAGACACCTAATTTTGAACACAACCCTTTGGTAATTAAGACATTTTAAAGTATCAAAAAAAGTCGAAGAGAGAGGGAGGGGAAGGGAGGGAAGGGAAGGTCTTAGATTACTTGATGACAGGCACTTTTCATAGAGACCTCAAGTCCTATTAGGATCAAACAGAAGAAATACGAACTAAAGAGTCACCAGGAAGACACAGAAGAGCTGAAGAGAGATGAGAGGGAGGGACTGGGAGAGAATGAAGAACAGAAGACACTGTACAAAAGGAAACGTACTCATTACTTGACTCTGTACCTTATCTTTACAATAATAAATTAAGTCGACGAGGAAGAAAAAGTCAAAATACTTTTTTAAGACACTGCTGGGATATACAAGTAGGAATCACCAAGGCTAATTATCTCTACAGGAAAAATTCCCTTTTAAAATTAAAAAAACAGCATTACAGATTTAGTTACACTAAAAAGGAAGCTACAATTTACAAATAAGACATTCTAATTATCTGAGGGATTAGCGACTATCCCTCTACAGGAAATTAAGAAAATTAAGTTGACAAAAAATTGTCTTCTCCTTCAGGTGTATAGGTGAGATGGTACTGGTACTAGCTGTGGGAAAGAAGAGGCAAAGAGATGGTGTATCACTGTCCCTCCCAGTACAGGGAAATGGAACACATATCAGCACCAGTACAGTTTCAATGAGAACAGAGCTGATTTTACCAGCAAGTAGGTAGCAGGAAATGCTCACAAAAATGCCTAGCGTGTTTCTTTGTCTTTCTTTGAATATCATCCATTTAGGGGCAGCAAAGATTAGAAATCTTCAATCCTTGCCCTTGCAAAGGAAGAGATTAAAAAGAAATTTTTGCCCTCAAAGCAAAACACATCAATAAGCCAGTCATTACACACACACTGTGTGGTCAACTATACTGCTGACATGTACAGAAATTACTCTGGACAAAACTGATGCAGATCAGAGGATCAAGAAGTTTCAATTATCACCAGGCAAGCCTGGAAAAAGAGTTTTGAACATTTTAGAGACACCTAAGGAAATATGAATGTAAACAGGACATTTGGGATTTTTGGAATTTATGATAAATTTGCTTAGGAAGAACAACAGTATTCATAGTGAAATGCTTTATCTGCAATAACTTCATTTTTCTTTTCTTTTTTTTTTTGTTGGTCACAAGGCTTGAACTCGGGGCCTGGGCATTATTTCTGAGCTCTTTTGCTCAATGCTAGTGCTCTACCACTTTGAACCACAGCATCCCTTCCAGTTTCTGGTGGTTAATTGTAAAGAGTCTTGTGGACTTTCCTGCCGAGACTGACTTTGAACCACAGCTCTAGGTTCTCAGCTTTCTGAGTGGCTAGGATTATGGGTATGAGCTGCCTTCTCAGCCCCCTCTTTGCTTTGGTTGGTCATGGGGCTTGGATTCTGGGTCTGGGTGCTACCCTCAGCTCTTCAGCTCAAGGCTAGCACTCTACTACTTGAGCCACTGCACCACTTCTGGTTTTCTGAGTGGTTTACTGGAGATCAGAGTCTCACATACTTTCCTGACCTGGCTGGCTTTGAATGGCGATCCTCAGATCTCAGTCTCCTGAGTAGCTAGGATTCCTCTTTTAAAAAAAAAAAAAGACATAGTCTTGCTATATTATATCCCCTAGGCTAGCCTCAAATTCAAGATGCTTCTGCCTTGACTCCCAATGACCACCTTTTCATTCTTAAGCAAAAGGACAAAAAGGGCAATTTTTGTCAAAAAGGAAGGACATTTCAGGAAAAAAGCAGATCTTAAAACAACAAAAAAAGGGGAAAAAGCCTAAATGTAATGAGAATGAAGGCCAGAAGCAGGAAGACTAAAAAAGAAGTATTATGGTAATGTGTACATTAGCAACAGTCACAATAGTAGAAGAGTAGAAAGAAGTTTAAGACCTGTAATATGACTGTCATTTTCTGTGAACTGAGTAAGACTGAACAGGAGTACTTTCTGGGCAAAGGTTAGACTGGTGGATGATGGAGAAAAAAGACAGGACTAGCTAAGACAGCTACAATCTGATGGGCCATGCACTTTGGGCATGCAAAGGAATTCAATACAGCATAAAATGTATGTCTATCTCTGTTTTCCTGAGACCCTATTAGAGTGATTATATATATATATTTGGGGGTCCAGCTGTGGGGCCTGACCTCTGGGCCTGGGTGCTGTCCCTCAGCTCTTCAGCTCAAGGCTAGCATTCTACCACTTGAGCCACAGCGCCACTTCCGGCTTTTTTCTTTTTGCTTATGTGGTGCTGAGGAATCGAACCCAGGGCCTTCAGGCATGCAAGGCAAGCGCTCTACCACTGAGCCACCTTCCCAGCCCCGAGTGATTATATTTTTTTAAAAAATGTTATGGGGCTGGGAAGGTGGCTTAGTGGTAGAGCGCTTGCCTAGCATGCATGAAGCCCAGGGTTCAATTCCTCAGTACCACATAAATAGAAAAGCTAGAAGTGGCTCTGTGGCCCAAGTGATCAAGTGCTAGCCTTAAGCAAAAAGAAGCTTAGGAACAGTGCCCAGGCGCTGAATTCACTCCCCAGGACTGGCAAAAAATAAATATAATAATGATAATAGTAGTAACAGGTGGTGGCTCAGGCATGTAATCGTAGCTACTTAGGAGGATGAGAGCTGAGGATTGTGTTTCAATACCAACCTGGGCAGGAACGTCCATGAAACTTATATCCAATTAACCCTCAGAAAACCCAAAGTGGCGCTGTGGCTCAAGTGGTAGAGCACTAGCCTTGAGCTGAAGAGCTCAGGAACAGGGCTGAGGACCAGAATTCAAGACCCAGGACAAAAATAATAATTAAAAAAATAATAAGCACAGCACTGGTGGCTCACGCCTATAAACCTACCTACTCAGGAGGCTGAGTTCTGAGTATCTCGGTTCAAAGCCAGCTCGGCCAGGAAAGTTCATGAGACTCTTATTTTTGGTCGGTCATGGGGCTTGAACTCTGGGCTTGGGCACTGTCCCTACATTCTTCAGCTCAAGGTGAGCAGTCTACCGCTTCAGCCACAGTGCCACTTCGTTATTTTTGTGGTTTATTGGAGATAAGAGTTTCACAGACTTTCCTGCCCTGGCTGGCTTTGAACCATGATCCTCAGATCTCAGCTACCTGAGTAGCTAGGATTACAGGCATGAGCCACCGGTGCCTGGCTTCCATGAGACTCTTATCTCCAATAAAACCTCCAGAAAACCAGTAGTGGCACTGTGGCTCAAGTTACAGAGCACTAGCCTTGAGCTGAAGAGCTGAAGGACAGCACCCAGGCCCAGAGTTCAAGCCCTATGAGCGAGTTCAAGCCCCATGAGCGAGTTCAAGCCCCACGACCGGCAAAAACAAAAATAAAATAAAATAATAAAAATATCTGCCAGGTGTTCAATGCCTGTAATCCTAGATATTCAGAAGGCTGATATCTGAAGATCAAGGTTTCAGGCCAGGAAAGTCTGTGAAACTCTGCAATTCATCCCCAAAAACCTGAAAGCGGAGTCATGGTTGAAGTAGCAGACCACTAGTCTTGTGCAGAAAAGCCAAGGGACAATGCCAGGCCCTGACTTCAAGCCAAAGCAAAGTCAAGTCAATTAGTCTGCCTGCCTACCTGTCAAAATCTCTCTCTCTCTCTTTCTCTCTCTCTCTGTCTCTCTCTCTCTCACACACACACATCCTCAATATTAAAGAAAACTGCAAGTAAGCAATCCAATAATAATGTAGGATTTGTAGAAAATTAAAATCAGATAGCAGAATATTAAAATATCCAGCAGGGAAGAAGTAACAGCCTAGGAAATTCTCAATAGAACCAGAACAAAGGAAGAAAAATAACATGAAATAAAACCCTACACTGAGAACAGATGTGTCTCAAACGGTAAATGCCTAAATTCAATCAATCCCCAGTAACCTCCCACTGAAAAAAAAAAAAAGAAAGAAAAGAAAAGAAAGCTGGCGCTGGTGGCTCACACCTGTAATCTTAGCTACTCAAGAGGCTGAGATCTAAGGATCCCGGTTCAAAGCCAGCCCAGGCAGGAAAGTCCTTAAGACTCTAATCTCCTATAAACCACCAGAAAACCAGAAGTGGTTCTGTGGCTCAAGTGGTAGAGTGCTAGCCTTGAGCTGAAGAGCTGAGGGACAGCACCCAGGCCCAGAGTTCAAGCCCCACGACCAACAAAAGAAAAAAGAAAGAAATTATAATTTGTTAATTACAAGGCAGGCACCAGTGGTTCATGCCTATAATCCTAGCTACTCAAGAGACTGAGATCAGAAGATTAAGGCTCAAAGCCAGCCTGGGCAGGAAGATCTATGACTCTCTTACCTCCAATTAGGCACCAGAAAAGACAGAAGTGGAGCTTTAGCTCAAGTAGTAGAACACTAGTCTTGAGTAGAAAAACTCAAAATGTCCAAACCCTAACTAAATTCAAGTCTCGGGACTGGTGGCAGCAACAACAACAACAACAACTACTACTACTACAACATTTCAGTAGCAAATCTGACAAGGGATCAGAAATGGGGCTGAAAACAGTTTCACGTAGATGTATACAATGGCTTAAGCCTGTTGTCTTAGCTACTTGGGGTGAAGATCAGGAGATCTCAGGTTCCAGGCCATTTTGGAAAGCAAACCAAGTTTGAAAGACCATTCTCAACTAATGGCTAGATGTAGCAGTACATGCCTGTCAAGCCTAGCAACATAGGGAAGCAATAGTAGGAAGATTTTAGCCTAGGCCACCAAGCATAAAGACCCTACCTTAAAATTATCAGTGCAAAAATTGTGGCTCAAGGGGCTGGGAAGGTGGCTCAGTGGTAGAACGCTTGCCTTGCATGCCTGAGGCCCTGGGTTTGATTCCTCAGCACCACATAAGCAAAAAGAAAAAAGCAGGAAGTGGTGCTGTAGCTCAAGTGGTAGAATGCTAGCCTTGAGCTGAAGAGCTGAGGGACAGACAGCGCCCAGCCCCAGAGTTCAGGCCCCATGACTAGACCCCCCAAAAAAATTGTGGCTCAAGTGGTAGAGCACCTGACAAGCAAATGAGAGGCTGAATTAAATCAGTAATAATACCCTACACCCTACCCGCCCAAAAAAACCAAATAAATGGGGTAAATTTGATCAAAGTATCTCACGTGCATATGTAAATATCACAACAAAACCTTGTGCAAAATTATGCTATTACATATAAAAAGTAACATTTCCCCTCTACCTATATTCAAAACTTAAATGCTTTCCAAAAATAATTTGTAGAATGTACATAAATATATATAAATATATTAAAGAATACTACAGCTGGGCTGGGAAGGTGGCTCAGTGGTAGAGTGCTTGTCTTGTATGCATGAGGCCTGGGTTTGATTCCTTAGCACCACATAAGCAGAAGAAGCTGAAAGTGGTGCTATGGCTCAAGTGGTAGAGTGCTAGCCTTGAGCTAAAGAGCTGAGGGACAGCGTCCAGGCCCAGAGTTCAGGCCCCACGACTGACAGACCAAAAAAAGAAAAGAAAAAAAAAAAAGAAAAATACTATACTATATACTATACTATAGCTAGAGAAACTAGTATGTACGTTGGTAATGAAAGTAATTACTCCTTTATTTATACCCTCTTTGCCCAACCTTTATCTTCTGGTTTGCCACTCACTCATCCTTAATTTCTGATCGGATTTTCCTAACCCTCACTTCTTTTTTCTTTTTGGTGTTGTTCCTGGGGCTTGGACACAGAGCACTGTCCCTGAGCTTTTTTGCTCAAGGCTAGTAGTACTCTATTTGAGCCACAGCTCCACTTTCCAGCTTTTCTGGTGCTTCACTGGAGATAGGAGTTTAACAGACTCTCCTGCCTAGGCTTCAAACTGTGGTCCTCATATCTCATAGCTAGGGTTACAGGTATACCCACTGGCACCTGGATCACCCTTGCTAAATAATGAATGGGACAGCCATGTAGAAGGCTTTGAGAGTTCTGCAACAGACAAGAAAATACAAAAGATACTAACTTCAGAGAAAGAGACCTTGTAAAATAATCTTTTAAAACTTTAAACATTCAAGACCTACTAAACACATTATATAATGAGTTTGATAGAGAAAGAACACAGATTTTAATCTAAAAATACAAAATCCACAGAAAACTCCAAACCTGACTCTAATGGGATGAAGATGTGGCTTGGTGGTAGCACTCTACCATGCTTGTCACACACAAGGAAGACGTATGTTTAATGCCTTGCACTGAGCACATGTTAACATCCACAAGATCAACATCTCTTACCGCTCTTAAGGCATCAATCTAGGTGATAACTAAAACAAGCTCAAAAAAGGAGAGATTAAAACTGAGGTGATTCTCAAAATAAATAATAAAGGAAAAATTTCCAGAATCCTCAAACTCAAAAAGGATATATCATATACAAGAATGGAAAATTAAGGAGTTCATGCAACAACATTTCAAAAGAGTAAGAATGAAGAAAAAGAACCTAAAGAAATCAAGAGTGGAGAAAAGAACAGGTCACTTAAAACGGAGTATAGTAGCACCTTTCCCATCAGCAATAAGAGTAAGTTCTGTGTAAATTTTATTTTCCTCCTATAAACAAGCATTCAATCATGAAAATACCACAAGGCATTACAGTAGGATGAAGTATGTAAGCCAAGTAGGAAGTCAATTTAAAAAGGGAAAGAGCCGGGTGCCCGTGGCTCATGCCCGTAATCCTAGCTACTAAGGAGGCTGAGATCTGAGGATACCGGTTCAAAGCTTCAAAGCCAGCTGGGGCAGGAAAGTCGGTGAGACTCTTATCTCCAAGGAAGTTGGCACTGTGGTTCAAGTGGTAGAGCACTCACCTTGAGCTGAAGAATGCAGGGACAGCGCCCAAGCCCAGAGTTCAAGCCCCACAATGGGGGGTGGGAGGTGGGAGGAGGAGGGACGGGGACGTGGGGGAGTGGGAGACGTAGGGACGTGGGGGTGGGGGGAGAAGGGAAAGAAAAGTTGGGCGTGATGGCTCACTAGTGTAATCCTAGCTACTGAAACCTGAAGATTGTAGTTTGAAGCTAGCCCAGGCAGGAAACTCCCTAAGACTCTTATTTCCAATAAATCACTCAGAAAACCAAAAATGGTGCTGTAGGCACAAGTAGTAGAGGGCTCGCCTTGAGCTGAAGAAATGAAGGACAGAGCCCAGGCCTAGAGTTCAAGTCCCAGGATTGACAAAACAAAAAATAAAATAAGAGAAAGGAAAGAAATGGGATCCAGAAGAAAAAGGAAGGCAGCTAGTAGCAGGCTCAGAATCTTATTTAGGAGGAGCCAACCATTGGTAGAATCTACAGGAGTTCTCAGACCCTAACTGGAAACACAGATTTGCTGCTGCCATATTGTTCATTGTTCTGGGTTGTTTAACAAATCCTTTGTTTCCTTTGGTCATGCTGTTTGCTTATGTGATTGTCTCAAATGATACATGCTGATCTTTTCATCTTTTGTGTATCTACTATTTGGTTTTTAGTTACCATGTGATTTATCCCCCCCCCCCCAAAAAAAAAAATCTAACAGGTATTTTAATCTGATCTTTAAAAAAAAAAAAAGTATTGGTATTTTTTTTTTTTTTGTCGGTCCTGGGGCTTGAACTCTGGGCCTGGGCGCTGTCCCTCAGCTCTTCAGCTCAAGGCGAGCGCTCTACCACTTGAGCTACAGCGCCACTTCCGGTTTTCTGGTGGTTTATTGGAGATAGGAGTCTCACGGTCTCTCCTGCCTGGGCTGGCTTTGAACAGCGATCCTCAGATCTCAGCCTCCTGAGTAGCTAGGATTACAGGCGTGAGCCACCAGCGCCCGGCAAAGTATTGGTATTTTAAAAAGGTTACCATTTCATACATCAGGTAAAGAATAAATTTCTTTTTGGACAATGTCACCTCTTCCTTCACTCTCCCAGTTTTTCCCTCCTATCCCTGGACACAAGTTGTATAGTTCATTTTCAACAGTGAGTACCACTGATGTTCACCCTTTGTCACTCCATTTCTTTTCTTTTCTTTTTTTTTTTTTTTTGGTTGGTCATGGGGCTTGAACTCTGGGCCTTGGCACTATTCCTCAGCTCTTCAGCTTAAGACAAGTGCTCTACCATTTGAGCCCCAGTGCCACTTCTGTTTTCTGAGTGGTTTATTGGAGATCAGAGTCTCAGATTTTCCTGCCTGGGCTGGCTTTGAACCACTATCCTCAGATCTCAGCCTCCTAAGTAACTAGGATTAGAGACGTGAGCCACGGACACCTGGCTTGTCATTCTATATCTGTGCTGATAATTTTTTTGCAGTGCTAGGAACTGGACCTAGACCCTTGCACATACTAAGCAAGCACTCAATACTCACAATCTCAACAACTTAAAAAGTTCTTCATTGTTTTCTAGCTGTTTCGTAGATCCCGTTTTTCCTTCTCTTGTATCTTACATAAAAACTCTACATTTTTTATTCTACACATCACGCTACCCTACATTTCAAATTCTGAGGTCAGTTTACATCTTTTTTTTTTTTTTGTCGGTCATGGGGCTTGAACTCTGGGCCTGGGCGCTATCCCTCAGCTCTTCAGATCCAGGCGAGCACTCTACCACTTGAGCCACAATGCCACTTCCAGTTTTCTAGTGGTTTATTGGAGATAAGAGTCTCAAGGACTTTTCTGCCCATGCTGGCTTTGAACCATGATCCACAGATCTCAGCCTTCTGAATAGCTAGGATTACAGGCTTGAGCCACTGGCATCAGACTGCTTCACTTGTTTAAAAGGCTTAGGAAATAAGAATATATATTCAATATCAAGTTGAATTGTATTAAGAAAAGAAAGGGTGAAGAGGGAAGGCCATCTTACCGCAGCATCGACATTAGCAGGTGAGTCTCCATTGGGGTCTGCTAACATGGAAATGACACTTATCATGATGGTTTCCACAGTGTGGATAGGGAGCCAGCGTTCCTCTGGCTTCTCATAACCATATTTATCCTCCCCAGGCTCATGAAGAATAGAAATGCAAACATCACCATTTTTATCAACTGCAAAAGTAGAGACGCAAAAGTCACTTATTATATCACTAGTTTGTTTATATATAGCTATATATTTCAAATGTGATACTAATCCACAGAGTACCTATATAAAGCATTGTTATTACAAAATATTAAGCCTTGGAATCTGAGTCAGCACTGATGACTCATGCCTGTAATCTCAGCTACTCGGGAAGCTGAGACTTTCTTTTTTCTTTTTTTTGCCAGTCCTGGGGCTTGAACCTAGGTCCCAGCACTGTCCCTGAGTTCTTTTGCTCAAGGCTAGCACTATACCACTTGAGCCACAGTGTCCCTTCCAGTCTTTTCTGTTTATGTGGTTTAAGGAATTGAACCCAGAGCTTTATTCATGCTAGGTAAGAAAGTGCTCTACCACTAAGCCACATTCCCAGACTGAGAATCATACTTTTGAAGCTTTCCCAGGCAGGGAAGTCTGTGAGAATCTGTCTACAATTAACCAGCAAAATGCCAGAATAGAGGTACAGCTCAAGTAGTAAAGCATTATCCATGAATAAGAAAGCCAAGAAAGAGCCTGAAGTCCTGAGTCCCAGTCCAGGGAAGATGGTGGTAGAGGAGGAGGAGGGAGGGGAGGGAGAAAAGAAAGGGTCAGGGAGGGTTGGAGCCAAAGAGGGAGAGAGGGAGGGAGGAAGAAGAGGAAAAACCAAAAAGCAGGAAGGAAGTAGATCTGTGACCCAAGTAGCAGAGTGCTAGCCTTAAGCAAAAATGCTAAGGGTCTGCACCCAGGCCCTGATGAGGATCAAGCCCCAGTATGGGCACAGAACAAAAATTAACCAAAATATGGCAAAATGAGTTTCTAATAGTTTCAACACTAACTTAGTTTTTGTTACTGCGGCATTTTGTCTGTTTGAGAGCAAAGTTTTGCTATGTAGCTAAGGCTGACCCCAAACTCATATCCTACTACCTCAGTCTCCCAGATACTAGAATTACAGGTGTGAACCATCATCTTGGTTTGAATTGCTAATTGACAAATTTTTCTAAGAAAATGTAGCAATGTATTTTTTTTTTTTTGGGTCCGGTCATGGGGCCTGAACTCTGGGCCTGGGCGCTGTCCCTCAGCTCTTCAGCTCAAGGCTAGCGCTCTACCACTTGAGCCACAGCGCCACTTCCGGCTTTTTTCTGTTTGCTTATGTGGTGCTGAGGAATCGAACCCAGGGCCTCGAGCATGCAAGGCAAGCGCTCTACCACTGAGCCACCTTCCCAGCCCCGAAGTAGCAATGTATTTTTAAAATCACCTAAAAATAAAAATTCATGTGAGGAAAATTGAGTATTCAAATTCACATAAAGAGCATGTCAAATGCCCATGAAAATTCATTGAGCCTCTTTACTATAAACATTTTTTTAAATTCAAATCACAAGTATACATTCACTTGAGTAGTAACAGGAGACTATCTTTACCTCAAGGAGACATAAAAAAATGTCCATAGGAAAAATCTTTAACCATATTTTCAACTTGCATAAGTAATCAGTAGCAGTATTGATGTATTTTTCATTCCAAACTTATTCTATGTAAAGCCTAATAAATTTCTAAACATGTATGATTCTTTTTATTTTCACTTTTACACATCAGGATAAACAGAACACTTAGTTGCCAGAATTACACATACATGTGCACACAACTACTCTATTAATCTAATAAATACTTTTGAATGCCTACTGAATACCAAATGTAACTGGTTAGGGAGTATAGAAATTAATGTAATATGTAAGGCTCATGTTTCCAATGTTTTATACATCAGCTTTTCTGTACTTAAGGAATTAACCTATTTACATCCCTAGTAAAATCGATTAATTAATAGAAACAATCAAAATTAAGAATAATACCACAACATTATGATTTTATCAAAAAAATTTATATAGGGTATTCTTTACTGCTTTCCTTATTAGAAAATAAGAATTTGGGGGGCTGGCAATGTGGCTTAGCAGTAGAGTGCTTGCCTAGCATGCATGAAGCCCTGGGTTCCATTACTCAGTACCATATAAAACAGAAATAGCTGGAAGTAGTGCTGTGGCTCAAGTGGTAGAGTGCTAGTCTTGAGCAAAAAGCAGCTCAGGAACAGTGTTCAGGCTCTGAGTTCAAGCTCCAAAACTGGCAAAAAAAAAAAAAAAAATTCCAAGTCATTTTCTCTGAAAAATGTAACACTAAATGTACAGAATTTTATCAGCAGAAATCAATTAAAGATCCATTTATAGAAATTAAAGTATTAGCCCTGTGCTGTACACTAGTGGTTCAAGCCTGTAATCCAAGCTACTGAGGAGGCTGAGATCTGAGGATCCAAGTTCAAAGCCAGCAAGTCCATGAGAGCCTGACTTCCAATTAACTACCAAAAAGGCCAGATTAAGTGGTAGAGTACTAGCCTTGAGGAAAAAAAAAAAAAAAAATCTCAGGGATAGCCCTGAATTCAAGCCTTGGGACTGGCACACATACACAAATTATCCCTAATTTAGATCCTGATTTTTCAATCATCATCATTTTAAGATCAGTTTCTTTTTTTAAAAATGAGAATGTTCTGGGGCTAGGAAGGTGGCTCAGTGGTAGAGCATTTGCCTTGCATGCATGAGGCCCTGAGTTTGATTCCTTAGCACCACATAAGCAAAAAGAAAAAAGCCGGAAGTGGTGCTGTGGCTCAAGTGGTAGCACGCTAGCCTTGAGCTGAAGAGCTGAGGGACAGCGCCCAGGCACAGAGTTCAGGCCCCACGACCGGACCCCCCTCCCCCCCCCCAAAAAAGAGAGAGAGAATGTTCTTAATACCTATTATACCAAGTAACAGTTAAAAAGAATTCTATACATGTGTATAACCAAAAGAAATATAAAAGGATCATATTGCTACTTCCTTCAAGATTTTTTTTCTATACTGATGCTTTTCAAATTCTATATGTGAAATTTGGTAACTGATTATTCCAAATAAAAACTCATGGCTAGAAAGGTGGCTAAATGGTAGAATGTTTGCCTTGCATGCATGAGGCCCTGGGTTCGATTCCTCAGCACCACATAAGCAGTAAAAGTTGCAAATGGCACTGTGGCTCAAGTGGTAGAGCGCTAGCCTTGAGCTGAAGAGCTGAGGGACAGCGCCCAGGCCCAGAGTTCAGTCCCCACAACCGACAAAATAAATACATAAATAAAAATAAAAAAGTAAAAACTCATGTATTTTTAATGTTTTTCCATATATTTCCTTTCCAGTAAAACTTGTGGCTGGGAATACAAGGGAAAAACTGGGAGAAGGAGGGAAAGAGTGACACAGTCCAGAAAACAAATGTACTCTTGGGGCTGGGAAGTTGGCTCAGTGGTAGAGTGCTTGCCTTGCATGCCTGAGGCCCTGGGTTCAATTCCTCAGCACCACATAAGCAATAAGAAAAAAGCCGGAAGTGGCGCTGTGGCTCAAGTGGTAGAGCGCTAGACTTGAGCTGAAGAGCTGAAGGACAGCACTCAGGCCCAGAGTTCAGGCCCCATGACCGGACAAAAAAAAAAGAAAAAAAAAGAAATGTACTCTTTACCTATCTTATACAACTGTAACCTTCATAATAAAAACAAAAATTGAGGGGGGGAATGTATATGGCTAGATGCTGGTGACTCATACCTATAATCCTAGAGGATTTCAGGATAAATTTAAAGAGGCTGAAATCTGAGCATCATGGCTTGAAGCAAAATCAAGCAGGAAAGTTTATGGCACTCTTATCTCCAATTAACCATCAAAAAGCCGGAAGTGGAGCTAGTAGCCACAGTAGCATTAAGAAAAAAAATTCAGGGACAGCTCTCAGGCCCTGAGTTTAAATCCAAAGACTGGCACCCCCCCTCACCCCACCCCACCCCCGCCTTCCCCTGCAAAAAAAAAAGATTGCACTTAAGAAAACGGAACAAAGAAATCTGTTGAAATTATTTTGGAAAGGTGAAAAATGATGGAGGAGTCAGATTTGGAACATACAGATTTTTTTTTTTTTGGTCGGGTCATGGGTCTGAACTCTGGGCCTGAGCGCCGCTGTCCCTCAGCTCCTCAGATCAAGGCTACTGCTCAGATTAGGGCCTGAGCACTGGCCCTTAGCTAATCAGCTCAAGGCTAGTGCTCTACCACTTGAGCCATAGCACCACTGCCAGCTTTTTCTGCTTATGTGGTGCTGAGGAATTGAACCCAGGGCCTCATGTAGGCAAGGCATGCACTCTACCACTAAGTCACCTTCCCAGCCCCAACATGCAGAATTTTAACAATGAAATTCCCCTCTGTATACCTAATACAAGCAAATTGAATAGTAGTAGACGGCACAATAACCTATTCCATGTGATCCCTGACAATGCTCCTGTCAATACAAGCAGAAGGCAGAGTTACTCAAAGTCTGTAATCCTAGGTATTCAGGTAGTTGAAGATTGAATGACTAAGATTTAAGACCAGCTAGAACAAAAATTCACAGACTTCAACTCAACCAACAGCTGGAAATGGTGGTGCATACACATCATTACAGTGACATGGAAAAGCACAAACAGGAGTACCATCACTCAGGCTAGCTTGGGCATAAATTAAGACCCTATCTCAAAAAGTAACCAACAGAATAGTTCAAATTGTAGAGTGCCTGCACAGCAAAGGCTGAAGCCCTAAGTTCAAACCCCAGTACATCCTGGCTCCCTCAAATAAAAGAAGCTAATATTGACAGGTATCAGTAACTCATGACTATAATCCAGTAGGCTGAGATCTGTGGATTATGGTTCAAAGTGAGCCCCGGGCAGGAAAGTCCTTGAAACTCTTCTCCTCAGTTAACTTGAGCTGAGCTCAAGTGGTAAAGCACTATCCGAGAGCAAAAAAAGCTCAGGAACAGTGTCCAGGCTCTGAGTTTTAAGCCCCAGGACCAGCACAAAAATAAAAACAAAAAAAGAAGCTAATATAAGGCCATGTTTACATAATAAACCCTGTAAAAGTTAAAGGAAAATTCCAGAACAATTCACTAAAAACTACATCATTCTTACTAAATTTGAAATTGTTAGTGACACTTCAAATATGCAAATGTGAAAGAAAAACTTACCATTTGGATGCCAGATTTCTGTAATAAATTTCATTTTAGGTGGCCGGAGAGGATAATCCTTTGGGAAAGTGAGATGAGCCTTAAAAACACCACCTTCACTAGAAAAACAAAAACAGGTTCTTGCATGTAAGTCCTTGTGTGTAAGTATACAATTATTAAAACAAATACATAAGCTGGGCGCCAGTGGCTCACGCCTGTAATCCTAGCTACTCAGGAGGCTGAGATATGAGGATCACAGTTCAAAGCCAGCCTGGGCAAGAAAGTCCGAGAAACTCTTATCTCCAATAAACCACCAGAAAACCGGAAGTGGCGCTGTAGCTCAAGTGGTAGAGCTCTAGCCTTGAGCTGAAGAGCTGAGGGACAGCGCCCAAGCCCAGAGTTCAAGCCACATGACCGACAAAAAACAAACAACAACAACAAAAAAACCCATAAAACAACAGGACATGAGTAATCTGGATTCTCTGCAGATAATTTATCTCAAATCAGCCTCTTTAATAAACTATCAATCACTTTATGAAATTCTGAAGGAAGCAAATAATGTGAACTGGCTTGATAAAAAGGGAATCCAGAGCATGCTTGAGGCCCTGAGTTCAATTCCTCAGCACCACATAAGCAGAAAAAGCCAGAAGTGGCACTGTGGCTCAAATGGTAGAAGGCTAGCCTTGAGCTGAAGAGCTGAGTGACAGTGCCCAGGCCCAGAGTTCAGGCCCCATGACCGACCAAAAAAAAAAAAAAAAAAAAAAACAGAAGCAGCATCATGTGGCTCAAAATGATAGAGTGCTAGCCTTGAGCAAAAAAGAGCTCAGGTACAGTGCCCAGTCTCCATTCATACAGTTAGGGTCACAAACATCTTTTTCTTAGTAAGTACTCTGTGGAATCTCAATTGGAAAACGACTAAAATAGATCTTAAAAATTCCCTCTAGGAGGCTAGGAATGTGGTTTAGTGATACAGTGCTTGCCTGGCATGCATGGGATTGATGCCTCATACCATATAAACAGAAAAGGCCAGAAATGGTGCTGTGGCTCAAATGGTAGAATGAGAGTCTTGAGCTCAGGAACAGTACCCAAGCCCTGAGTTCAAGCCCCCAGGACTGGCAATAAATACATACATACAAAAAAATTCCCTTTAGGAGCTGGGCACATGACTGTAATCCTAGCTACTCAGCAGGCTTGATATCCAAGGATCATGGTTTGATGCTATCTAAGACAGGAAAGTCTGGGCTGGGAAGGCGGCTCAGTGGTAGAGCGCTTGCCTTGCATGCCAGAGGCCCTGGGTTTGATTCCTTAGCACCACATAAGAAAAAAGCCGGAAGTGGCGCTGTGGCTCAAGTGGTAGAGCGCTAGCCTTGAGCTGAAGAGCTGAGGGACAGCGCCCAGGCCCAGAGTTCAGGCCCCATGACCGGACCAAAAACAAACAAACGACAGGAAAGTCCATAGACTCTGAGTTCCAATTAACCAGCAAAAGGGCAGAAGTGAAGCTGTGGTTCAATTTACGAGTGCCAGCCTTTAGCTAAGGGATTACGGCTCAGACCCTGAGTAGTTCAAGCCCAAGCACCTGCACCAAAATAATAATAATAGTAGTAATCATCTCTCAAGGGATGGGAAGGGGAAACAACGAGGAGGCAACAATGCTTGATAAGAAATGTACTCGTTATCTTGCCCATGTAATTGTAACTCCTCTGTACAGTATTCTCACACAAAAAAAAAAAAAAATCTCTCCAGGGGTAGGCAAAGTGGCTTGTGCCAGTAATCCCAGCTACATAACAGGCTACATAATAGATTAGGAAGATTGTGATCCAGAGCAGGCCTGGGCAAAAACTCAACACCCATCAGAAAAACAACTAAAGCAAAGTTGGCCTCCTAATTTCTGTGCCTTAAATAATTTACTTATTTCTGTAATCAATCCATGTAGACAAAACTTTCAACTTATTTTTATTTTACTGGTACTAGGGGCTTGAATTCAGGGCCTCTCATTCTTACTTGGCTTTTTCTCTCACGGCTAGACCTCTATCACACTCCCGGCTATTTGCTGGTTATTTGGAGATAGTAGTCTCTCAGATTTGTCTTGCAGGGCTGACTCCAAATCTCAGTTTCTAGATCTGAGTCTCCCAAGTACCGAGGTGTATAAAACATGTGCACCGGCACCTAGCTCTTTACTTGTTTGGTGCAGTATATTATTACCTTAAAAATAGGAAAGTGAGGGGCTGGGAAGGTGGCTCAGTGGTAGAGCACTTGCCTTGCATGCAAAAGGCCCTGGGTTCGATTCCTCAGCACCACATAAGCAAAAAGCCGGAAGTGACGCTGTGGCTCAAGTGGTAGAGCGCTAGCCTTGAGCTGAAGAGCTGAGGGACAGCGCCCAAGCCCAGAGTTCAGGCCCCACGACCGGACCCAAAAAAAAAAATAGGAAAGTGAGTTTCTTTCTAAACCAATATGGCTATTCATTTTCGTACATGCCCACTCAACTGCGTAATACTACAATGCTTTTTAAAATACTTTAAAAGCTGCAATACCTTTTTTTTTTTTGGTTGTGGAGCTTGAACTCTGGGCCTTGGCACTGTCCCTGAGCTCTTCAGTTCAAGGTGAGCGAGCACTCTACCCCTTTAACCACAGTGCCACCTCGGTTTTCTGGTGATTTATTAGAGTCTCATAGACTTTCCTGCCTGGGCTGTCTCTGAACCTCGATCCTCAGATCTCAAACTCCTGAATAGCTAGGATTACAGGGGTGAGCCAGCGGTGCACAGCTTGCAATACATTTTTTAACTAAAGTTGACAGTATAGATGAAGTTTCCAACAAACTCAATATATTCAATAACAATACATGTATATATACACACACTTATACAGCAGTATATGTTATGTATCATTAGAAGCAATACCTTTTCTAGGTTTTATAGTCATCTAACCAAAAGTTACAAACAAATGCCCAGGAAACTGTTGGCACCTTTATATTGACTTCTCAATTATCAAGCAAAAGTTTAAACAGTTTCAAAGAGAGTACAAAACAAAACAAAAAATCAACACATAATCAAATATATCACAAATGATACTGGACATAGCCACTTCACCTGCTCCTTAAAAAATAATTTTCATTTCAGATTGTTTAAGTTTTCATTTTAGTTAATTAAAAGCACTTGTGTTTGAAGATGTCAATTCCATTATACTTACTAAAGGGTATCTGGAGGACCAATAATAAGGACTTCCCATCGGTAGAGGTCATTATCATCTATTAAACCTGCTGAAAAGCCTTCCACTGGATTTTTGTTCAGTTCTGTGGAAAAATAAAAATTTCATCAAAACTCTGAAGGACATAATTTTCACCTAACAAGTAAACTATAGAACTTAAACATGCTATAAACTATCAAGTGGATAAGAATGCCAGGAAATGTTACATAACTAAAACATTTCCCTTTGCATAATACAAAGAGGCCATGTTGGTAAAGCAAACTACCCAGAAAATTAACATCTACTGCCTTCTTGCTATCCAAAGAAGCAGTTACCATTGTAGTAGCCCTGATGTGGGCTCTAAGAGCTTGATAAAACACACGTCTCCAATGCCATCATCCAGAAATCATAGTTCAGAAGGAACACACATGAACAGTATTTTTTCTTCCTCTTCCCCACCCCCATACTGTGGCTTAAAACTCTCATCTGATTTGTCTGCTCATGGCTGGTACCAATTGAGCTAACTTGAGAACTCCTCTAAGTGGGCTTTCAACCTCAATCCTGTAGTTTTCAGCCTCAGCTAGAATTATAGGCATAAGCCATGAGCACCTGACAGCCAGATGCTCATAGCTCATACCTGTATCTTAGCTACTCACTAGGCTCAGATCTGAAGAGGAAAGCTTTTCAAAGACAGCTCAGGCAGGAAAGTCCATGAGAGAGACTCATCTACAATTAGCCACCCAAAAGCTGAAAGTAGGGCTGTGACTCAAGTGGTAGAGTGCCAGCCTTGAGCAAAAAAGCCCAGAAACAGTACACAGCCCCACCCCCTTTATTTTGGTCTGGTCGTGGGGCCTGAACTCTGGGCCTGGGCGCTGTCCCTCAGCTCTTCAGCTCAAGGCTAGCACTCTACCACTTAAGCCACAGCGCCACTTCCGGCTTTTTTCTTTTTTGCTTACGTGGTGCTAAGGAATTGAACCCAGGGTCTCATGCATGCAAAGCAAGCACTCTACCACTGAGCCACCTTCCCAGCCCTGTTCTTACTCTTTTATTTATGTACTTACATCTAGAGAAGTAACTATAATTCAGATCATGTTCTCCAATGTGACTAAGGTTTTGTCAAAAATTCTGTAATTTATCCAGAAATCTCTTGGTAATGATTTTAATGTAAACCCAGTAACATTTTATTCAAGTAGTGGGTAAGCTCTGAAATGAGCATAAGAGGACAGAATTACCCTCAAAATTTTCCTCAAATTTTCCATAAGCACATCGTTGCTTCTCACTTCTGACAATATACCGCCCTAAGTTCTGGAACTCTTGCAAATTTTTTCATGGTTTTCTTTTACAGGAATTATTGTATCCATTGCTTATTTTATGTAACTAATCAAAAGCAAGGATGAAAAATGCCCTACATCTCACTTTTGTGGTGACTTTTGCCTGTTTTGAAATCTTTTATCCCACCCTCACCCTACTTGCCCCCATCCCAGGATTGAAGATTAAACCCAAGGACTTGTGCTTGCTAGGGAAGTACTCTCTACCAACTGGTTACATCTCTAGCCCTTTTTTCTAGAGTCTAGATCCAGGAATGCTAAACAGGCTTAATCCACCTACAGTGGCCTATCACTACCCTATCATCTTCAGGAATGATTGCTCCAAGGTCTAGTTCAAGTACTCCTCCTCCTCCATGAAGCCTTTGCCCAAAAAGATATCAAATAATCTGTTGACTTCTGTTATCGCACTGGCTGCATTTAATTAAAATCGGCTCTATTTTCCAGAAGTAAATGGCAGTGTGTTGTAAATGCTCAAACAGTAATTTAAAAGAAGAAAGAGTAATAATAATGGCATGAGGAGGAATTTGCCAAACAAAAGCATACTACACAATCAGTAAGAGTCAGAAAAAGGTACTAGTGATCCTAGCAACTCAGAAAGCTGAGATCTGGGGATAGGAATTCAAACCAACCTGGCAAGTAAAACCATGAGAATCTTTTCCTCATATAACCAGCAAAAAGCTGGAAGTAGAGGTATGACTTAAATGGAAAGCCCTAGTCTGGACTAAAAAAGCCATGCAGAGTGGGAGACTGGTGACTTCAAACCACAGTATTGGTAGGCATGCATATACAAATACACACACATACACAGCAGAAAAGGGCTCTAAATATAAAGATAAGCCAAAAGATTTGGATGAGTATAGGATGTAGATAAAGTAGCATATACAAGTACCTAAAGAAGGGGCTAGGAAGTTGGCTCAATGGTAGAGTGCTTGCTTAGCATGCATGAGACCCTGGGTTCGATTCCTCAGCACCACATAAGCAAAAAAAAAAAAAAAAAAAAAACCGGAAGTGGCGCTGTAGCTCAAGGGGTAGAGCGCTAGCCTTGAGCTGAAGAGAGTCAGCACCCAGGCCCAGAGTTCAGGACGACCGGACCCAAATATATATATATATATATATATATATATATATATATATATATATATATATATATAAATACATACATACATACCTAAAGAAATATGGGAAGTTAGGGGATGCAGTTGAAATTAGGCACAATAGAAGAAAAAGGTTCTGGGCCTGGTGAGCTGGACTTTATTTAGAGGACCCTTGAAAGGTTTTGTCTGTTTTTTTTTGGTTTGTTTTGTTTTTAAGAAAACAGGTGGGCCTGGGAAGGTGGCTCAGTGGTAGAGTGCTTGCCTTGCATTCATGAGGCCCTGGGTTCGATTCCTCAGCACCACATACACAGAAAAAGCTGGAAGTGGAACTGTGACTCAAATGGTAGAGTGCTAGCCTTGAGCTGAGGGACAGAAACTAGACCCAGAGTTCAGGCCCCAGGATGGAAGGAAGGAAGGAAGATGATGATGATGCCGGGCAAGGGTGGCTCACGCCTGTATTCCTACTAGCAACTCAGGAGGCTGAGATCTGAGGATCATGGTTCAAAGCCAGTCTGGGCAGGAAAGTCCATGAGGCACTTCTCTCCAATAAATCACTAGAAAACCAGAAGTGGTGCTGTGGCTCAAGTGGTAGAATGCTAGCCTTGAGCTGAAGAGCTGAAAGACAGCGCCCAGGCCCAGAGTTCAAGCCTCACGACTGACGGAGGAGGAGGAGGAGGAGGAGGAGGAGGAGGAGGAGGAGGAGGAGGAGGAGGAGGAGGAGGAGGAGGAGGAGGGGGAGGGGGGAGGAAGGAGGGGAGAGGGAGAAGGACGGCCACCAGATACTGGTGGCTCATGTCTGTAATCTTAGCCACTCATAAGGCTGACATCTGAGGGTGGTAATTTGAAGCCAGTCCTGGCAGAAAAGCCTTTAAGAGTTTCATCTCCAATGAAGCACACCACAAGAGCTGGAAGTGGAGCTGTGGTACAAATGATAAAGTACTAGGCTTGAGAAAAAGCTCGGATAGCACACAGGCCTTGAGTTAAAAAACCCCAGTACTCGCTGGTGGCTCACGCCTGTAATCCTAGCTACTCAGGAGGCTGAGATCTGAGGATCGCGGTTCAAAGCCAGCCCGGGCAGGAGAGACCATGAGACTCCTACCTCCAATAAACCACCAGAAAACCGGAAGTGGCGCTGTAGCTCAAGTGGTAGAGCGCTCGCCTTGAGCTGAAGAGCTGAGGGACAGCGCCCAGGCCCAGAGTTCAAGCCCCACGACCGACCCAAAAAAAAAAACAAAACCCAGTACTAGACTAAGAATGTGGCATAGTGGTAGAGTGAGTGCTTCCCTAGCATGCATGGATTCCTACCACACACACAGGAAAAGCCTGAAGTGGCACTGTGGCTCAAGTGGTAGAGTGCTAGCCTTGAGCAGAAGAGGGTCAGGGACAGTGCCCAGGCCCTAAGTTCAAGCCCCAAGACTACTAGGTCCACTCCTCCCACAAAAAAGCCCCTAGTACTGGCACAAGAAAGAAAAGAAAGAAAGAGGGGGGAGGGAGGGAGAAAGAAAGAGAAAGAGAGGGGGGAGAGAGGGAAGGAGAAAGAAGGAATGAAGGAGGAAGGAAGGAAGGAGACAAGAGAGAAAGAAAGAAGACAGAGAGAAAGAGGGAGTAGGGAGGGAAGGAGGGAAAGAGAAAAAAAAAGAGTGGGCTGGGAAAGTGGCTCAGTGGTAGAGTGGTAGAGTGCTTGCCTTGCATACACAAGGTCCTGGGTTAGATTCCTCAGCACCACATAGGCAGAAAAATCCAGAAGTGGCATTGTGGCTCAAATGGTAGAACACTAAAACTCTTGAGCTGAAGAGCTGAGAGACAGTGCCCAGGCCCAGAGTTCAGGCAGCACCACGGACAAAAATTAATAAATAAATAAAATTGTGGTGTGTCAGTGGCTCTCCCTATGTAATCCTAGCTACTCAGGAGGCTGAGATCTGAGAATCACGGTTCAAGGCCAGGCCGGGCAAGAAAGGCCATCAGACTCATCTCCAATAAACAATTAGGAAACCGGAAGTGGGGCTTTGGCTCAAGTGGTAGCATGCAAGCGACCAAAAAAAAAAAAAAAGTAATCTCACTTCACAAATCTGAACTTGTCTGAGCCCACAGCTGCCAAATACCAAAACACACAGAAGAACATGTTGAGAATAACCCTGGAAAGCCATTTAGCAACTCTACCGTGTGGGCAATTCTAAAAACAAGACCTGGAATCTTTTTTTTTTTGGTCCAAGTTGGCTTTGAACTGTGATCCTCAGACCTCAGCCTCCTGAGTAGCTAGGATTATAGGCGTAAGCCACTGGTGCCTGACTTAGACCAGGAATCTTAAGCAAATATGCAAGGGAGGAAATAAAGTGAAAGCTCAGCCATTATAAGCAACAGCAACAGCCTCACACTTTTGGCTTACATCTGTAAACTTAGCTACTCTTCTCCTGAGACTTGAACTCAGGGCCTGGGTGCTGTCCCCAAGCCTCTTTGTATTCAGGGCTAGCACGCCACCTACCACTTGAGCAACAGTACCTCTTGTGGCTTTTTTGAGTAGTTTCTTGGAGATAAAGAGTTTCAAACTGTGATCCTCAGCTCTAAGCCTCATGAGTAGCTATGACTGTAGGCATGAGCCACAGGCCCCCAGCTTCTATCTTTGTTAAAAGAAACAAACAACTAGCAACAGAATCATTCTGTTTGTTTTTTGTTTTTTGGTTGGTTGTGGGACTTGACCACTAGACCTCAGCACTGTCCCTGAGCTCTTCAGCTCAAGACTAGCATTCTACCACTTTGAGCTACAATGTCACTTCCTGTTTTCTGGTTTGTTAATTGGAGATAAGAGTCTCAAGGATTTCCTGCCCAGTCTGGTTTTGAACTGTGATCCTCAGATCCCACCTCCGGAGTAGCTAGGATTATAGGTGTGAGCCCTGGCGGCCAGCCCTAAATTTAAGC